CCTTCGGCGCGCTCTGCGCGTCGGGCGCGCTCCAGGGCGCCTGCGGCGGCTCCGCGGCGCTGCTGGCCGCGAGCTTCGCCTACGCGAGCCGCGCGGCGCCCGGCGACGACGCGCGCGCCGCCGCGCCGGCGCCGCGCGACGGCGACGGCGCCGGGGCGGACGGCGGCTACGCGGCCCTGGCGCCCGACGACGTCGCGGGCCCCGCGTCGGCCACGCGGACCTTCTCCGCGGCGGCGACGCGCGGCTTCCGCGCCGTCGCCGCGTCGCTGACCGCGAGCCTCGTCGCCGCGCCGGCCGGGGCGGGAAACGAGTGATTCAAGTTCGCTTCAACGTGAGTATTCCGCGCGCGCGTGTTCCGAAAGGAGCATCCCCGCTTCGAGAGCGCTCCGAGAGATGATCGCTCGTCCAAAAATCAGCCGAAACGAGTGGAAAACGACCGAGAGAGGAGCCTCCAAAGTTGGGAATTTCGCACCCTTTTCCTGCCCAGGCGCCGGCGGCCGGCGGCTGGGCCGCGGACGCCTACGGCGACGCGCCGGCGCTCGCCGCCGCGGCGGCGCTCGCCGGGCTCGCGCTCGTCTGGGTCGTCGCCGCGCTGCCGCCGACGCGGCGCGCGCGGCCCGCGGCCGCGGCGCCGGGGCTCGCGGACGCCGCCGCGGGCCTGCGGGCGCTCGTCGCGCCGGGCGGCGACGCGCGCGCGCTCGCCGCGGCCTGGGCCCTCGTCTCCTGCAACAACGTCGGCGTCGGGGCCATCGCCGTGCAGTACCTCGCGCGGCGCTGGTCCAAGGCCCAGGTCGGCGCGTACGTGTCGCTCCTCGGCGCCGCGGCGGCGGTCGGGAACGTGGCGCTGGAGCCGCTCGCGCGGCGCGGCGCGCGGCGGTCGAAGCGCCGCGACGACCGCGACGTCGCCGTCGACCTGTTGCTGGCGCGGCTCGGCTGCCTCGCGTCCGCGCTGCTGTCGCTGGGCTTCGCGACCGTGAAGACGCAGCGCGCGATGTACGCGTTGGTGCCGCTCGCGGCGCCCGTGGCCGCGGCCATGCCCGCGCACCGCGCGCT